TTGATTACATATCCAACTTGACACATAAAATTAACCAGTGAACAACCATATCTAGTAGACAGTGAGCTGTTCTGTTCATAGCTTTGAGCCAACTTTTCCTTCCTCAACTTGTATTAAAACAGCTGCATAAGTATGTATGTATTGTATACTTAAAGTAAATTCAAATATAATTATTTTCTATATTAAACATTGTATTATAATTTCTGTTTAAAATTAGTTCAATGATGAGGAAATAAACTATAGAAACCTTTCATATTTTTTCTTGTTCTATTGTATGTCATTAGTTATTAACTTATTTGTGTTTAGAATTCCTTTAAATGTCTACTGAGCTTTGCTATTTCGATTTACAATGGTATGTGTTACAGTTTTAGAAGAAATGCTGTTGTAACTTCAAAGAAGCAACTTGGATTCACCTTAGTCTAAGCTGTTATTTTCTAAAAATTATTATCTGCCTTTTCTACTCCACAAAAATGATACATTATATTTGTTTTTCATTTTTAAACATGAATACATGTTCAGTATGCAATTACTGGGCTCATTTATTACATTTCCTTCAAAAATGCCTAAAGAACCATATCAGTGTCAAACAGAGATATCTAAATATCTGAAATGCTTATTAAAGCCTACACTATTGAAGTGATGTTTTAAAATAGTTTATGACAGATCACAATACAAAATTTTTATTTTAGAGTCATGAGCATTATCTGAATAAAGAAATTAACTTCAACAATATCTATCTAGGAAATTTAAAATGCAATGAGCTATTTTATTATTTTCAATTATTTTTTACTCTAAGCTACTAATTAAAGTTTCTCCATAATATTCTTTAACTTACATTTTTTATAAAAAAGGAAAATTTGATAGAAAAGAGATATTAGAAATTCTAAAAACAATGAGCCATTGCTGGTGGCACTGTAAACCTGTGCAGCCTCTGTGGTTCTGTGGAAGACAGAAAATATGAAATACCAGCTCTACCATTCAGGTATATACACCATGGACTGTATATGGACATATCACAGTGATAGATTTATGTGTCACATATTACTTTCATATCTATCATACCTATTTTTATTGCCACACTATTCATAAAAGTCATAACATTGAGCCAGCCTAGATGACCATCAAGTTTTATATATCAGACATATAGTTGTTCCAGAAGTTCCTTGATTAACTATGAGCCATTGGGTATTTCTTGATCTGATTTTCCCATCCACATTGATTCTTCTGAATGTCACATCACTATATTCCCACGTTTTCTCCAGAATTATTACTCTCTAACAGACATCTATACTAACACACACATATGCACACCCCCTACATATATGTGTGTAACATAATGGAATTCTGTGCAGCCACTAGAAAAAATGAAATAATGACACTTGCAAAAAATGCAACAGGGAGTCACTGTGTTAACTGAAATAAATCAAACTTATGAAGACAAACACGACATATTTTAACTCTTGTGGAATCAGACATCATGAAGAAAGAATATGGGGAAGGACGATATCTTAAAGAAAGTGGGAAATAGGGTAAAGGAACACATGTCATAGGAAAGAAGAAGTTGAGAGTAACTAGAAGAACAGGAAAGAGCTGGGGGAGGTGTGAGGGATCCAGCGAGAATATTTCGGGAGGGGACACACATTTGAAGATGCTATTGGAAAACCTATTACATTATATGCTGACCTATAAAACAATCTTAATAAAGGAAGAGTAAACATAAATTAAGGGTCTAATGATGTACCTCAAGTGGTAGCTTGCTTATCTAGGATGTGTGAAGCCTAGACAGTGATCTGCAGCACAGTATAAACATGACTGAGTGAAGCACAACTGTAATCTGGGCACTCTGGTTGTAGAGACAAGTGGGTCAGAAATTCAAGGTCTTCTTTGCCTCCTTAGTGAGTGTGAGAACAGTCTGGAATATGTGAATCACTGTCTCAAAAAATATGAGAGAAAGACAGGTACTGGAGAGACAGCTCACCCACCAGTTAAGTGCACTGGCTGCTCTTACAGATGACCTGGGTTCAACACTCCTGGCATCTGACAACCACCAGTAACTCTAGTTCCAGGGTATCTGTCTCTCTCTTCTGAGCTCCACAGACATTGTACCTACTTTCATACACTCACACACAAGAAATAAAAATAATAAATAATGTGTTTTTTAAAATTATAAAGACATGTTTATGTCAAATAAGAATGACTGTATTTTTGTAATATATTTCTTAGCCAATCACTTGTTTCTGACTAGTTATTAAAGTAATAGATTGTCCAGTATTCTCTACTACTTCATTCATTTATTTAAATCAACTTGAATGTAACATTATCATATAGCATGTTTCATTTAAATAATTCACACCTAAGTATATGTATGTATGAACATCAGAATTATTCAAAATTAACTTATAATAAGGAAAGGTAGCCAGTTAGTATGATCTGTAATCAAACTCGCACAGTTTGTGAATTCTTCCCATTATGTGGCAAAGATAATTAAAATTGCAAATGAATTTAAGTTTAATAAACATTTCATCTTGAACACTGGAGAATATTTTCAATTACTCAATCATAATGTAGCAGCTGTATTCAGAAAGTCCCTAAAATGCAACTAGAGGAAGGTGAGTGCTCCAGAATCTAAAAAAGGAAAAGCAGCTTCACCCCAGAAATTCTGGAAAGGAATTCAGCCTTGAGAGTGTTTTTTTTGTTGTTGTTGTTGTTTTTTTTTAGCCTAGTGGGACCATATCAGACTTCTGACTTGTAGTTTTAAAAGACAGTGGATTTGTGGTGTTGTATTTTGGAACAATTTGTATGCTATTATGAATAAAAAGTGTAACAGAAACTAGAGGAAGCTAGTACAGAAGTGAATTAAAATTTTAATTATATTCTGAAAAAACAATGTAAATATGAAGTGGAAATCTATTCTCTTCCCAACTCCTTATGAATGCAGCACCATCAATAAGGGACTGATAAGATTTCTGAGGCATGAAGAATCAATCAAGATCTTCCAGAATTCAAAGTCAGAAATATGAAACAAAGCTGAAATTTTAGTGATATGACAAAAGATAAGGACAAAATAATTTTGGAGCTCCCTTTGTGTTCAAGGGGTCCTGGTGTTTCAAAGTGGGAACAAGCAGACACTGCTTAGTCTTTCTAACCTGGTTAAATTGAAGCTGGCATTGGTGATTCAATTATTATGATTTTACTTTTGGAGTGGATGACACAAAAAGGAGGATGTTACAGAATATTTCAAATGTAGAACAAGATGTTACTGCTCTATTTTTTTCTGCTTATAAAATCAGAACTTTTATAGGCAATTCCCCCATTGAGGCTCCCTCAACCTAGGTGTGTCAAGTTGACACTAAAGCTATCTAGCACAAATGTATATATATATATGTGTGTGTGTGTGTGTGTGTATATATATATATAATATATATGATCATATATATGATCATATATATGATAATCAAAAATACACACACACACACACACACATATATATATATACATTTGTGCTAGATAGCTTTAGTGTCAACTTGACACACCTAGGTTGAGGGGGAGCCTCAAATGAGGAATTACCTCCATAGGGCTGACCTGTGTCCACGTCTGTGGGGACATCTTCTTGATTATTGAGTGCTGTGGGAGGGCTCAGCCCACTGTGGGTTGTGACACCCATGATCAAGTGGGCCTGTGTTGCATAAGAAGGCAGGCTGAGCAGGGGCCAGGGAACAAGCCAATAAGCAGTGTTCCTCCATGGTCTGTGCTTTATTCAGCTTCTGCATCCAGGTTCCTGCCCTGAGTTCCTACCCTCGGCTCCCTGATGAACTGTGACCCATGACCCAGGAGATGTAAGATAAATCTTTTCTCCCCAAGTTGGTATTGGTCAAAGTGTTTTGTTACAACAATGGAGAAACAAAGTAGGACAACATTAAATTGGGTGGGGCCAGTGAGGTGAAGTGAGGATAAAGGAGTGGATCTAAATACCATAAAATTATATTGTATGGAAATTGCAAATTTTTTAAAGTTAGAAATAAATTTTTTAAAAAAGCATAGCTATGTAAACCAAGAAACTTCTGTCATTTATGATGTCACAACAGCTTGAGGAAAAAGCATCAAAATATTTTTTAAAAAAGAATAGAATTAAAATTTTAAAATATGACCAAGTTAATTTAAAAGTAGAAACAACCTTTCAAATCCAAGATAAGGAAGTGTATTCCTCAATTTTGTGCAAAAATATCATAAAGGAACAATAATTTTGAATACATAAATTAATTTTGAGGAATATTAACTGAATTACATTTTAGATTTTATTGAATTAACCAGACAAATGGAAATTATATGTGACTATCAAAGATGCATGTAAACTAAAGAGAAAGGTACAGTTGTGAACGAAAGACAGAGAAGCAAAGAAATAGCAGCAAGCTGGGGGCATACAATCACACTTAAATCTTTGAATATAAGGATTCAGGATGATAATGAAAGATTAACTTTTGGAAGGAAGAGAGAATGGTTAGACAAGAGAAGACTAGAGAAGAGAGAAGAAAAAAGTGAAAACAATGCAGTTGTTCAAGTACATTCACGGAACTCAGATTTCATTTATAGTAACCAGAGAGTTCAGTATTACCTTGAAAAATCCATAATATTTTTTGTGTGTGTGTGGATAGCGCCCTATTCTCTCCTAAAACAACAGATTCATACTGATAAACATTCTTAACAAAGGGGTTTCAGAAGAGTTACCTTTTAAAAAAAATCAGTCATGCCTTAGGATGTAGTCATTCCTTCATTGCTAAGCTGATACCTTCAAGAAAAAGAAAGAAAGAAAGAAAGAAAAAAAAAACAACTTAAGAACTGGAAAGTATTATGTACCTTTAAAATTTCACAATAACTTAAAAATGTAAACTAGATGATTAGAAATAAATCTAGAGCATTAAAATAAAATGTCAAAAAAACTAAAATCTGTAAAAAAAAAATTAAAAGCTCAACTTGGGGACATACACAAAAATTATAAGGATGCGCCTCTCTGGCAGCACATATAATATAATGAGAATGGTGCTGAGATTATCCTGGCCCCTACGGTAGGATGACACTAAAATATGTGAAATGTTCCATATTTTGTATACTTATCAATCTGTCTGTGTGTGTGTGTGTGTGTGTGTGTGTGTGTGTGACAGTAAAGATCAAAGAGAAAGACAAGGAATTGAGAGGGACTTGAGGGAAAATGTGAAGAGCTGGAAGGAGATGGGGCAAGGTGTGTATATTATGCTAATATAATACTTATGTATGGAATTCTCAAATCTAAAAAATTATGTAAAAGTAAATTATAATGATATGACATTACATGATTTAATATTATATTCATGGAACTCTACCTAAAAGTTACCTTAAATCTGTTCTAACATTAGTCTGTTAATGTATTATGTAAGTATTCCATTTCTGTGATTAAAAAAAATAACCAAAGCAACATATAGAGGGAAAAGTTTATTGGGCTATAGTTCTAGAGGGATAAGAGCCCATCATGATAGGGGGGCATGGCAGGAAGCAGTGGGAACAGAAAGCCAAGTGCTCACATCTTTAAATATGTATAATAAACCGAGAAATCTACTAGAAATGAATATGGCAATTACTTTCAAAACCCACTCACACTGACCTGCTTTCTTCAGCATGGCTACACTTCCTAAGGTCTCCATGACCCTTTCTAAACAGCTTCACCTAATCTGGAACAAGTGTTCAAATTCTTGGAGCCTACAGGAAACTTTTTCATTCAAAACACCACATTCTACTCCCTGGCCCCTACAGGCTCATGATCATATCATAACGCAAAATGTACTTAGTCCAGCTTCAAAACCCTACATAGTCGTTCACAGTTTCAACACTATTCAAAAGTCCAATGCCAATAATTTTTCTGAGAGTTACGTCACTCACAATATTTGTTAATTTTCTGTTGCTGTGATAAGACAGCAGACCAAGGTTACTTATAGACCAAAGAGTTTACTTAAGCTTAAGGTTCCAGAGGGAGTGCATGATGGCAAGGGAAGAATGGTGGCAGAAAGTGGCCTGACCAGAAAGCGAAACAATCACATCATCAAGCAGGCAAAGGAAGCAGAGAGCAACTAGAAATATATGAAGCTTAAGAATGCCCCAAACCCACCCCCAGTGACATGCTTCATCCATCATGGCCACACCTCCTGGTGGTTAAATGACTCTCCCCAAACAGCTCCATAAACTGGGGACCAAGATTTCAAATACTTGGAGCCTCTGAAGAACATTCTCAATCAAACCACTACACTTACTTAAGTGTAAGACCTTGCAAATAAAAAACACAAATTATATTCTTCCAACATATAATGCACAGCCTATATATTCCCATCAGCAAATGTCTTGTGACTCTGGCCTCTCCAACATCTTGGTGTCTCGAATGCCAACCAGACTTTACCTTAACAGCTTCCTGCAGTGGCCTCTGAAAATCCCCTTGTCCTCCCAGGGTTTTCCTTATGCTGAGACATTTTGCTATATACTCCCTGGTTTCCATAGCTCTCTGTAACCACAGAGAGCTAATAAAAGCTTTTAACTTTTTATTCTTCCAAGCCTCCAGAGCCAACAATGGGTGAATGATACTGCCAAGATTTGCTGCCAACTTGGAATGAAGCTTGGCCGTCTTCATCCTGGTAACTAGTAGCTGCTTTTATAAATTGTAGTTTTCTGGTAACAGAAAACTCTTCAGGCTTTTCTTTTCACAAGTTGGAAACTTCACTGGATGGGGTTTTGTGCAGAAGGCAATCTTTCCACTGTTCAAGTGCAAAACTTAATGTCTCTAATCTGCTTAACAATGGGAGCCTCTCCTCCAAGAAACACCCTGGCTCCCTTGACATGGACATCAAGCTTCCTAGTCCTCTTTTTCTCTCCAAACTGTACATTTTGTATTTCTTTCTGCTTCCACTTGCTTTTTTTCATTGTAGACCTGCATCATATTCACCATTAATAACCATGCCAATGATTTAACATTAGGTTGTCTTGAAATTTCCTCTACAAAGAAATTAGTCCATTACTTTTTACCTTAGCCACAAATAAGTTATCAGGTTGTGGGCAGATCGATAGAAGATAGATACTTAACCTAATGTTCCAGTTGCCATTTAAGGGATTAATTCCATCTCCTTTTGGAAGATCTTGAGTTGGGCCTCTACTAGATTTTCCCAGTCAGCTCAGCCTACAGCATTCAACCACCTTGCTGGTTCAAACTTCCAAATTCATTCTCATTCAACAATAAAGAAAAGAAAAGAAAAGAAAAGAGAAAAGAAAAGGTCATGTTATTCAGAGAAACATCCTGCTCTCTGGTACCAACTACTTTTACTGTTCCTGGAATAAAAAAAATACCTTGGTCAAGGTCAAGGCTTACTTACTTACAAAAGGAAGATTTTCTTAGGCTTCTGGTTCCAGGGGGATAAGAGTTCATCATGGTAAGAGGCAGAGCAGGAGGTGACCAGAGAGAAAGCTGAGAGCTCACATCTTCAAGCAGGTACATGAAGCAGAGAGACAGACTTGCAATGAATCTTGACTCTCTACTCTTCTCTCCTTTCCCCACTGGCATGCTTCCTCCACCTTGGCCATAACTCCTAAAGGCTCTTCAACCCTCTCCAAAAAACACTATAATTTATTCAAATACATGGACTCTCTGATGGACATGCTCAAACAATCACATATATTGACATGAACATTAAGTTATAATAGTAATCATATACTTTTTAATATTAATTTTCTCACAAAAAGCAAATAATTGTTACCATTATTCAACACTATATAATCAATGTCATGACAGATGTAGGATGTAGAAGTTATGCCAAATATATTTACAATCACATATATTGACATCAACATTAAGTTATAATAGTAATCATATACTTTTTAATATTAATTTTCTCACAAAAAGCAAATAATTGTTACCATTATTCAACACTATATAATCAATGTCATGACAGATGTAGGATGTAGAAGTTATGCCAAATATATTTTTTAATATTTTATTTATTATTTTTATTTATGTGTATGAGTGTATTTCCTGAATGTATGTGAGTGCACCCATGTTGTGCAATGCTGTGGAGGTCAGAAGAGGGCTTCAGATTCCCCTAGAACTGAAGTTAAGGATGGTTCATAGCCACCATGTGGGTGCTGGGAATCGACCTGGGTCCTCTGTAAGAGTAATCAGTGCTCTTGACTACTGAGCCATCTCTCCAGCCCAATGCCAAATATTTAGAGAGATGTAATTATTTTCTCTATTCTAAATATTCTAAATATGTATCCTTATATTTACAGACAAGTGCACCTCTTATCAATCATCAAAGAAACTTCTTTTTGCAATAGATGGAGACTATTACAAAGTTCCACAACTGGGAAAACACAGAAAATAAGTGACTCTGGCTCACTCAGCCCTAAGTCCACATTTATAATAGAATCTTTCTATACACCTAAGACTCAGGGAACATGGTGGAAGATGGGGCACAAAGAATTTAAGAGCCAGAGAGACAAGACACATTCAGTTACCTAATGTGTTATAGACATGATATGGAGGCTGCATCCATGAAATCTCCATAGTATGGCAGTCTAATAATATCTAGATAACAAAAATAGATGAAATGCTGAGGCTGAGGGGGGAAATTTCCAAGTATCCCACGTTGAGATGAAGAACTACAGTCAATCAATTGAAGTTGATGCATGGAGAATCTTTTTTCTGTAGAGACTAGCTCCCTGAGAGGTTATCTAATCTAAAGTAGGAAGGCCTAAACACAGGTAAACAGACTACCACTGAATGGGCTAAGTGCATATTATATATAATATATCATATACATAATATATAATATACATATCATTACATATA